CATCATCATCATCATCATCATCATCATCATCATCATCATCATCATCATCATCAGAGCTTCCCCTGGCAGAATCCCCCCCCAAACCCTGACTCACAACAACTAACCTCCGCCAAGCTGATCTACTCAATGTTCGCTGATGACTGCACTATACTGGCCAGTCACGCAAAGAGAGAAAGGGCAAATAAAGCGACACAGTTGATTGTGGATATGGTTGTGAAATGGAGCAATGAATGGAAGCTTACTTTGAATGCAACCAAGAGTGAAGTGTGCTTCTTCACAACATGGGTGAACGAGGCAACGTGGCAACCAATAATTCAGATCGAAAGGAAAAAGATACCATTCAACACCACTCCACGTCTGCTGGGCGTCTACCTGGATAGACAGCTAACCTTCAACAAGCACACTGAGGAGGTGTCCAAAAGTGCAACCTCAAAAATGAAGGTTATCGGTGCTGTCCGCAACTCAAAATGGGGCTGGGGTAAGGAGTCGCTCAAGAAAGTATATCAGATGTTTGTGAAAAGCAAGATGGATTATGCTGCCCTAACGTGGCAGCTTTGGCTGAGTGAGACTAGTGCAAAAGCCCTGGACAGAATACAAAACAAAGCCCTCCGACTTGTATCAGGTCAGCTGAAAACAACACCAACAGAAGCGCTGCGCTATGAGACCAGAACTGAGCACTACACCACCTATACAAAAAGAACATGCCTCAAGTCTGTAGAGATGGCTAAGAGATTACCAGACAACCATCCTAGAAAGAAAGCCCTTGATCAAGCAGTCAAGCCTAAAAACAGCAGGAACAATTGATTTTGGATGGGCACCGATCTAGCAGAACACCTCCCCCCTGAAGCAGAGAATCGATGGCCGATCAATCTGGTGAGAGCTTGTCCATGGGAGACCCATGGCGAAATCGAAATTCGGGCAGAACTGAGAGGAGTAAAATGAAAAGAATATGATCCTGTAAAGGCACGTGAAGCAGCTGAGGATGTGATCAAAGAGGTTGGTGCGGATGTGACAATTTTCACCGATGGATCGGCTGTTGCAGGATACCGCGAAGGTGGAGCAGCAGCAGTGGTGATAATGAATGATGAACCACCACGAACAGAAATTATTAAAAGTAAAGGTACATTCCTTACATCATCTTATGACGAGGAATGCCAGGCAATGATGTCTGCTGCTCAATGGATTGCAGACAATTACCACAGTAAGACCAATGTGCTGATCTTGACTGACAGTCAGTCCCTCTGCAAGGGGCTGCTGGGCAACAGCTCGGACATGAGTGATTTGCGCCGCAAGTTCAGTGAAGCCAGAGTCACAATAAAAATCCAGTGGATTCCAAGCCATGTTGGAATAGAAGGAAATGAGGCAGCAGACCAAGCTGCTAATGAAGCCAGAGAGATTGAACGAGACAGACGACCAACGACATACAAAGGAGTCTTTCCAATGATCAATAGGGAAATCAGAGACCCACCATGTAGAACTAAGTACCAGCACCTGGAAGATGTGTATTCCTGGTACTCCTATAAGCGGGAACAAAAATCTATGGCATGTCGCTGGGACCATGTTGAGCTAGCGAGACTGCGGTCGGACCATCATTGGAGTTTAAGATGGTATAAGAACTTTGTGAATGAAGAGCTCAGCCCATGTTGCCGAGGATGCGGCCATGAAAAGGAGGATGTCAAACATATTATGTTTGAATGTCCAGGAACAATGGCAATTCGAATTGAGTTATTTGGACGAGTGGAGGTGCCGCTAAGCATATTGACAATGGAGCCGAAAAAGAGCCTCACTCTCGCTCGAAGATTTGTTCGTGGAGTCCGTCAGGCCCAATAAGGAAACAAAAATCATCATCATCATCATCATCATCATCATCATCATCATCATCATCATCATCATCTTCAACATCTACCTCAATCCATATGTACCACATCTCTTTAGAGATAAGAGGAGGTTCTCGTGGCCTAGAGGTTAAGGCGTTCGCCTCTCATTCAAAGGTCCCGGGTCCGAATCCAGGTAGCGACGAAAAAATTGCCTTCTCTAAAATTGTCTCCTTTCACCTCTTTTCATGCTCTCTAGCTTCTTCTTCTTCCTCGTTCTCGATTACAGCGGCTAGACAGTCAGTCCGATGTCGCGCACAAACTGTGCAGTTCGCTTCAACTCTGAGAGAATGCCATAGAGCTTTCTCTCAAGGGGAGCCACATTCTGCCACGTCTGTGCGCGAAGGGTGGCGTAGCGCGGGCAGTGCTGATGGATATGGTTGGCATCCTCTTGGTAGTATCCACATTCACAGATCGCTGACTCTCCCACTTTTAATTTTGGTGTTTGAGTCTGTTGTGGCCACAACGGAGTCTAAAGATTGTGACCTGGTCTGCTCTATTTAGTATGTAGTAGTGGGTATGTCTGTTGTGTTTAGGGTGGGACCTTTTCCATCTGTTTCTTAAGGCAGATTTTATTAGTGTTTTTGACTCTGAGAGATTGATGACATCTTCAATCTCGGTCATTTCGGCTCCTTCTTTGGCAAAGTCGTCTGCTTTTTCATTTCCATAAATGCCACAGTGACCAGGTATCCACTGTAGAGTTGTGTTGGCTTGGGAGTTTAGATCACATAGGAGTGAAAGGAGTTGTCGTACTTGAGCTGGCTCTCTAGCAATATTCTGTCGTCTGCTTTCGTTTCCACTTTCTGCACCCACCCTGTCACCTCCTGTGCCCCCTCCTCTGGCTCCTGACTTTCTGCAGCCTTTCTACTGCTCCTCCTTGGCTTCTTCTTACTGCTGTCTTTCAGCATCACCCCTGATCTTCCGGTAGGAAAGATCTACACCTGACCTTCTCGGACAAGGGAGAAAAATCTCGGAGGCCCCGTGTGCAAGTTGCACTTGTTAAAGATCCTTCGGTGGTCTAAAATCGAGGAGTAAGATTCGGCCGCCACCCGGACAAATTCAAAATATCCTACCAACGAAAATGTTTAATGTGTCCCGTGCGGTCGTATGTCCTTATGCAGTTGCGAGCGCCTTAAAACACTTACTAAGAAAAAAAGAGAGAGAAAAGTTTCCTTCTCTTCCTTTGTGAATTCCACCTTCATGCTTGGTTGGTAATGTTTGTTTTCGGTTTTCTCAATTATGTGTCCAATCCACTTTTATTTTCTCTCTCTGATATCGATATCTCTATTTTCTGTTAATTTTTCACACAGTTGTTCATTTCTTATGGTGTGAGGCAAATGAAAGTTTAGTTTCTTTTCAGCAGCTGTTGATAAACGCCTGTATCTTTTTAGAAGTTTTTGTTTGTAGGTTCCTATGTTTCTGATCCATAGAGGAGAAGACTACATGTACAATTTTGACACTGGTGTTGAAAATCCTTGTCTTGGTTTTTGTTTTTATGATTCCTGACTTACATTTACATTTACTTTCTGCACCCACCCCGTCACCTCCTTTGCCCCCTCCTCTGGCTCCTGACTTTCTGCAGCCTTTCTACTGCTCCTCCT